CAGATGGTTTTCTCATTGAAGATGGCAGAAGGGCTGTAAGCTGTGAAATCACATTTTTGAATATTCCTTTGCTTTAGAAAGTGCAGATAAAAACGCAGCTTTGTACTCCACACTCCGTAATAGTATTAGACAAAAAACAGGCAGAAACATGATCTTTTATATAACTAATCAGAAACTTTTTGCTGTCTCCATACATATTTTTCCCAGGGTGCTAGGATGGTAAATATTTTAGCAGAGGGAATTAACTCTACTTCTCTTCCTTTATGTTCTGTTATCAACGGGACTAGCCCACACCCTCACTTTGCCTCATTTTTGGCTCTGTTTCTAAACCCTAAAATTCCTGTTCCTGCATTGAAACACAATTAAATTGAGGCTTAATGTGGTGCCTGTTTTATGTAATCTCGCTTTCTGGCTTTTTTTATTCTTCCAAGTCTGAATCTCATGAATCAATGTGTATTCACGTTTCATCTGAAATTTTCTAGCTCTCCTCAGTATGCCCTAAAGCTTCCCTTTTTTGGTTTATGAAATAATAATAAAAAGCTTAACTCTTCAGATTAAGTTGTAACTGCTTTATACATTAGGCAGACAATTTCAGTTTAGCAACGTAAAAATGGTGTGAGAGAGAAATTGCAGCTTGATTATTTTTTAAAATATTCAGATTAGAATGTCATCTTTTATGAGTTTTTTTATAACCACTTAGATTGATACAGCTCTCTAAAGCTGCTCTGTTTTTCATCACACATTCTCATCTGTAAAACCTTCGTTTTTATTAATCTTTGTACAATCTGTACAACTTTGAGATTAATCATTTTAAAAGAGCTACTCTCCGAGTGTTGAGGATTTGCTGGGCTAATAGTAAGTGCAAGCGCTTCTAAATACTCTACAACACATAGCGCTTGCTTAGCGTTTTATGTTGCATGAATATCAGTCTTTGTTTCCCGGTTATCTAGAGCTACATTTTATGGCTGTGTTTCCAGGTCTGTTTCTGGCTGCTTAGAACCAGAAAACAAAGTATACCGGGTCCTTTTTTCACCAAATAACTCGAATTCAAAATATTTATAGTCCAGTTCTGCCTTTGTGCAGTTCCCCTTGAAGTTAGAGTGAGTTGTATATTTACAAGCAAAGGCAGAACTGTGAGGCCAAATCCTTCAGTCCTTGATTGAACAAAAATTTCTGCTGGATCCTGGCAGGCCACTTTGGCTGCATCTGGCCTTGTGTAGTTTTGACTCCTTTTAGGACTTAACGGAGGGACAGGTCTAGTGTCTCTCCTGACTATAGGTCTTACTGGGGCTTTTTTTTTTTCCCTTCTACAGTTAATTCAACTCTTCACCTCCTGATTATCCCCCTGGCCTTAGCTGAATTTCTCCTGGGGGCTGCTCAGCCCTTGGATCAGGGGAAGATGCAGCGTAGGAGCTTTGGCCATGCTCTCAGCTGTGCTCTGAGTGCGCTTGCAGCAGGGCAGCGAGCGGCTGTGCTGACAGTTCTCCAGGCTGCTATGGTGTTGCCTGAGCAGCCCATCCTACTGGGAGAGAATACGTGGGTCCTGGTCCCAGAAGCCTGTCTCTCCTGAAACACCAGTGTTTACTTATTCTGGATTGTCACTGTTCATCTGAACAGCGCACTATAATCTCTAGTGCATCTTCTTTTTAATTTATAATGCATGTGTTGTTAGTGGATCTAGGGTGTACAGTGAACGCAGTGCAGTGCTTTGGTGGAGATCTAGGCTGTTACCTAGTCTTGAGAGTCTATCACGATAATTTTTCATTGTTATACTTCTGGCTTTGGTGGTCTAAGTGTATTAGGCATTGTCTCTTTGCCTAGTTAAACCTAGGGTGCCGGACTAGAATAGATGAAAGTTAAGGAATCTCCTACCCTCTTAAGATTTCCATTTAGTTAATGTACTGCAGGTGTAAATGCATCAGTCACTTGTATTGCTCATGTCTGTGGGATTGCATCTGATCGTTATCTCTTTTACGTAATAAAACAGGTGTTTGGGTTTTGGTAATGTATTTAGGAGATTTATATCGGTTCTTCTATCAGTGCTTTTATTTTAGTATAGAAATTGCAGCAATATGAAATAAGCCAACTGTGCAATCTGTGGTGTACATTTTGTGACATACATCATGGATGCATTGAGTAAAGAGGCTGGAAGAAGAAAAAATTGCGTTTTACAGTGAGATTACTATTGATGCAGAGGGAAGGTTGAAGTTCAAGAGAGCAGTGGTATAGGGACGGTTTATGAAAACTTCTCCTTCAGTGTTCCAGTTTCTCCACTGACTGGAAAGAACTTTCACCTGTTAATTTCTATTTTCCTGAAGGTGAGATTATTTCATAGCGCTTCCTAGTGAATAAGTAGTATTTTAACCAAGAAATCTCATGTGATCCATTTTGCTATCATCATCCGTATGACCATGCTGAGTACCCGCCAGTGTTGATGGAAATGTGCCCAATGTAAACTGAGAACTAGGGTTCCTGCTTATTAAAGCATCTCTCCTAGGGAGCTGGTTAAGTAGATGGCTATTCATTACTTAGTATATTATGGGTCAAGACTCTCTGAAAACAGGTTTTAGTCTTCAAGGATTTGCAGTTGTATGTACAGTTTTAGGGAAGTATAACTAGAAATAATGGGAGGAAATAGGAAAAAGGCTGAATGTTGAGGAAGGCTTCTCAACTGTGCAATAAAAATCGAGATGGAGATCATCTGGAGGATACCTCCCCTTCATAGAACCTTTCTTGAGGGCACAGACAGGGCCTTTGTTCTGCATCTTCTTCCTGGGAGGAATTATTTCAGAACTGACTGGTCTTTACAAAAACGGTCATCAATGAAAGATGAAAACCATGTGAATTTGGAGAGAAAGTTAGGCTGTGTTTTATGGTATAAGCTTATATTGTGAATTCCTGTTCCTCCTTCTAAAGTTTCTGTCCTGGGAATTCTTCTTATCTAACTTTGTGTCTCTTGTTTATTGTAATGTGTGAGGTTGCTACCGCAGGCGTGAATGAGAGGTTACTGGTTACTCAGGGTGACTAATGCAAACGTTCATATTAACCCTTGATTTGCTGCTATGTTACAGATCAGGAATAGCTTCTACTGCAGAATTTATAAGATTCTCCTTATAAACGTTAGTTCTCATTTCATTTCTGTTTTAAAATGCAGTGTTTAATTTGTGATTAACATGGGTATCGCTATGGGTTGGATGATTTTCAAACTTTTTTTTTTTTTCATTAACATCTGTGGACTTGCTGCCTCTCAATAGACAGGAAAATTGGATGCTGGTGGGGAACGTGAATTGAGAAAATGATCATTTATGATCAGTTGTTACTTGCATTAGGGAACAAAAGGCCGCATCTGGACCCTGAGCAGAGAGGAGACCCTATTTAGTTGGACATGATACATATCTACATATCTAGTGATGAGTTTAATCCATTTACATCAGATAATGGTATCTTCTTTTACCTATTATTATAGATAACACTACAGATCAGGGATACTTTCTTGCCACCACCCTATAGCTTATTTCATTATGGTCACTTGTTTGTCACTTAAAATTGAAGTAAACAGAGCATATCTTCCTAAAAGGTGTAGCCTTTGATTTGAATAGCCACGTGGAGCCAGGATGTGAAATTAGTATTTTAAGCAGCAAAAGACTTGATCTAAAGGAGCACGTCTGCCAGGTGGCAGCCTGCAAGCCGCTACAGGGAATGAATAATGAGGAATGTGACCCACATTCTGCAGTAAGAGCTGTTCACGAACCCTGCTCCCCTCCTGTTCTGTGAGGTTCGCAAACCATTTAGACATCTCCCGCGTTCCAGTTCCACTGGCTGTTCTGTGAATCACTTAAGAGGTTTAAAACTTCCTTGTAATTCTACTCTGCGCATGAACTCTGAGTGAAGAGAAAGGAAAGACCAGTGAACTGGGAGTCTGGGCCTCAGGGACCCCTTCAAATTGCTATTGCAAGCATTTGGCAAAGACTGGGATAACATCCTATGTATCTGTCTTTGTCCCTAGCTGTGTGCCCTTGGGCTTTGTTCTGAGCTTTCTAATTTCTAGTGCAATGTAAAACATGAACACTTACTGTTGCCAATATGCATTAATACATGTGACAATGTACACACTAATGTAACATCCTAATTTAAAAGTAAAAACTAAAATTTATTTACATAATTTTAACATTAAGAAGGTTGCAAAAAGGAGACATAGCAATGTTCCTAACATTCTGCACAGGAGAACATAGGATTTTGAAGAATGAGTAGATAAAACATATGTTGTGACACCCCAAAACGCAACAAAGGTTACAAATTTTTAAAGTTTTTGTGATGCTGCTGCATGAGGAATCTTGAAAATTTATACGTAGTAGGGATAGACTGGTTTGGGGTTTTTATTTTATTTTTATAAAGGGTTAATTTGTAGCGCATCCTGCAAGCTTATATGTGGGATAAATAGTTTGAACACTGATTTGTAATCTCTGTTTATGAGTACATGACTGCTATTCTTATAAATGTCATCACTTTCTTGGTAGTATCTGGTAATATCTGAGTCATGAGGTGCTGACAAAAATCCACTGCACTTAATGTGAAACTCGAGGCATTTTGCTCATTCCAAAAGATATTAGCAATAGCCGGCCCACATTTAACTGATAAATAACGTGTACATGTGCACATGACATGGTTATGCTGCTATGTGGATTTTTTTTCTCTTACCTAAAATCTTCGTGTAAATACATCAGAGTTCAGATCATGACAATTTTTTTTTTTTTTTTACTGGACTGTCTTAATGGATACTAATAGATGTATGTATGGAGTCAGTGCATTGTGCCAGCAGGAGCAGATCCATATGAAGGCAGAGCAGGCTTCCTTTGATGAATTTTGTTGGAACTTGGATATCCTTGCTATTAAAGCCAACTCCGTATATGTTGTCACTGACTTAAGAAATGAAACCTGTCACGTGGAGCTGAGTACTGAAAAATATTTCATTTCTTCATTATTCCCCTCTTTATTTACAGCCATACAGCAGGATATGAAAATGAGAACCATAGTGCTCCCATGTTATACAGCTGTGGGGCCCAATACAGAATACACACCCATGGAGTTTTTAGAGGCATACAAGTGAGTATAGTAGGGTATTCTTCACAGGGCTCCCTGTTTATAATGTTCATTTACTACTTCACTGGTATTTATAAATCCATCCTTGATTTGTGGTTTCCCTGTGTTATCAAGAAATGCTTTATGTAAGTGTCTCGACTTCTGTGAAGCCATTGAAGTATAAGATTTCTTTCTGACACAGTCATTTTAAATTGTTTATTTCTTCTTCTAAAATATGTCTGTGAGGCAATATTCCTTACCAGCTTCTCAGGATGGGTCAAAGGATAAGATCCAGTGTCCGAGTTCTAGCTCCAGTCACTTTGGCTGTGTGGAGCTTCTGTGGTTACAATGAACTATGTCTGATAACTATATGTAAGAAAATGTTAGATGACATTTTGCTTTTACAGATTTCTGAAACTTTACTAATTAAAACATATTTTCTTAAAACAAAATGTAATAAGTGATTGTTTCCTAATGACTAAGTAATAAGTGAATATTTGGAAGGAACTTACCATTCATGGGAGTTAATTTCCTCCCTTTCTGAAAGTCGTATCATCAATAAACACCCCTGTAAAAGATACACCTTCTGAAAACGCATGGCAAAGTCATTACATAATACTTGTCTCTTCTGTGTTGTTCTGTGTTGTCAACATATATCAATGTTTTTAGATAGCATCTTTTCTCCTTTTCCTTTTCTGTATAGTTTAACAAGTCATTATTCAGTGGCAAGTTCTCAGAAATAGGCTCATGAGCCAGCTTTTGTTGAGTGAATAAAAGTAAGGAGTTGACATTGTTTAAGGAAGTTAATTATCCCAGAAGGAGATCATCATCTTTGATGGAACATTGTGACAGCGGCCAAAATGCATTAAAGCTGAACTATTCACCAGCTCCACCTAGACAACCTTTCTTGTTTTGTTTTTTACCAATTTGTATTAACCCAATACTTTGATTTCCCTGTCCTTTAACTTCATACGAGTATTTAAAATAAAGAGGAGAATGCTGCTCTGGTGCATGCTCTTATCTCTTACACTAGTATAAGCCTAAAACTATTTAATATGTCAATGAGTGTTCTTCCAGGATTGTGTGATTATACATGAGATTAGAATGTGGCCCATTTAATCTTGCATATAAATATTGGTGAGAGAACTTAATAAGTAGAATTCACTGTATTTCACCTTCAAATGATTTTAATACTCTGTAAAGAACAGATTAAGGTATACTAAGGTTGTACTTCATTAATGTAGAATAAAATAAAATTGCCTGTTTGCAGTATAATATATTTAAGATCTCTTTGTCCTGGAGAAGTGCCTCTGATTATTTGTCTTTGAATATATTAAGTAAAAGCTTGAGAACATACACGTTGCATCAGCACATCTCTGTCATTGTAGGATGTCCGGCGGGTGCCAGGAGTAGCTCCAACTATTGTCCGATCAGCAAGTGAGACAAATGAAAAACGTCCCTTCATGTGTGCGTACCCTGGCTGTAACAAGCGATACTTTAAGTTGTCCCATTTACAGATGCACAGCAGAAAGCACACTGGTAAGTGTCAGCATGGATCGCTGTAAATCACGTCACAGCACGGGACAGCAAAGTGGGTAGAGTGATTTTAAAGGAGTATAAGGTGCAAGAAATCATCTGCCAGGTCAGGGGTAGCTGAGAATCTGTCAGATGAAGTTTGTATGTGCTCTGTCATCTGGGCAATCCCTCTGTTGGATGCAGAAGACTCTATGAATCTAGTGAAGAAAAATACAGAGCAGTGCTGGCAACAAGTAGATCACCTCCCTCCCTCTCTTAATGTCGTAGGGCATCATTCAGGGCTGCGAATCTCTTTTTTTTTTTTTTTTTTTTTTCATTCGGGAGCATCAAAACTTGCTCCAAATCTTAACTGTTGTTAACTATTAAGAAGTTTCCTCTGCAAGAGGAACCTAGACATTTGGCATCCTCTTGTCCTCCTGTGTAAGCCTTTTCTGCTTGGGGGTGGAGGCAGGGATTAGCAAATGAGCTTCCTTGCTATGGGATCTTTCCATGAGGAATTGAGCCTGAAGGCTAAGATCTGGATTCTCTTTACCAATTCAGGCAATATAAGTTACATCTCAAAACGTGGAAATCAAATGCCCTGCTGCACCTTGCCAAGGAGTAAACTGAATTATTGCCCCTTTTGGGAGATTTATACTGTTAGACATGTGAAATTATGATATACCTTTAGATATGGTCCTTAAGCATTTTTTTGATTGCCTATGATATTTTTATTTAGACAGTTCTTTCTGTGCTAATCTAGAAACCCCTGGATAAAATCTGTAAATATGGATGTTCAATTAACCATGAATATAATGGAAGGTCAAAGGGATAAAGCAGACAATAGGAAGGCAGTGTATACTGCTGTGATCTAGCAGATTATCTAACATTTCATAAAAAATAGTTGCAAACTTTTCCTTTTGAAGGCCATGTGGTGACATTAGTTAATTGCATAAAATACCTACAGGTGAGAAATCAACATTACAAAGCATTTTTGATTTCTGAATGGGCAAGTCGCAAAATATTCAGGCAGACATCTTCAGTGATGCTCAGATTATACATTCAAGATAATTTAGATTATAACTGGAATTTAGTCTTTAGAGATGGAGGTCTACAGAAGTGCTATCCTGTTTTCTGTAAATAAATTGGAAACATAATTTAGAGTTCTTTTGGGGTCCTTTGACTGCAGTATTTTTCTTAAGTATGTCTAAACAGTTCTGAATTTTTCTTGTAATCACTATTTATTTCATTCCTAAATTGATTTACTCTGTATTTTTGACAGTCGTAATTTGTTTGTTCTGGTCCTGTATTTTATTTCATTCAGTTGCTTGGCTTTTGCAATATTATTTCTGGATGCATCACAAGTACTTCAGCTTCTGTCCCTTTTTCTTCCTTAGCTGGAGAAGATTTTCAGAATTATACCACATATAATCTAGACATGTAGAGCCACAAAAGCCCCAAAAGACATAGAGGATAGGACTATGGCTGTCTAGCATCCCCAGAGAGACTTCTACTATTGTCTTTGAGGTCATACGTGCCCCTCCTTTGGTTTCCACTATAGCGGAACAGGATAAAGCAAGAATGTTTTTTTTCTCTTCAAACACCTCTTCTGTACAGGTGGGCCCAGCTGTTTCTGCCCCTGTATTTTGATACGATACATCAAAACTTAGAACTTTATCAAACCTTTCCAAGTTGCTTTCCATAAGTGGCCAACTTGACTCCCAAAGCTTGTATTTGCTGATATAAATGTTGCCATTGATAAGACCATGTAAGCTTTGGAGGCCAGTTGCAGCTAAAGAGAGGAAGGGAAGGATAGTGCACTGCTGGTATGAGAGCTGCTTCGCTAACTTGCCTGGCTGATGCATTCCGCTTTAGGATCAGAAGGGAGTTCTCCCCTTTGTCAGACTGGCAGGTTTTTGTCTTCAGCCTGCTATACGGGTACTAGCCATTTGCTATGATTATTGTGTGGAAATTTTACTTAACTGAATTCCCAGCTGCTCTAGAGGCTTAGAATATGATGCCCTTCATTTCTTGTCTCCTGTCATCTGTTAGTCCTAGTTTTTGGGAGTGTTTGGTGAACTATATTATATGGGAGCATCTGGAGTGGATAGCCTATGAACACTTCTGAGTTAAAGTGTTTTCTTGGCTGCTTGGCATGGTGGAGAGTCTGAGCTTGGTGGCCATAATGGTCTTTTTCATGAGTCTCATGCTCTTCAGGAGTCCTGAGCAGTTGAACTGATTGTTGTGATGCAAATCCATTTCCAGTCTCCTTTGTAACTTCATGTCTTTCTCTGTCTATCTAACCCTGATTTGTGTCTCCTGCTTGTGGAAAAGCTGATTGTCAAAAGCAAAATTTGGAAAGCAGTTTTCTCCATGGATGGATCAATCATCACTGTAAAGAATGTGTGTGTCTTGTTGATAGCAGTTATGGCACCTACCGATCACAGGTACAGAAATTGGGCTTTGTGGAATTAGCGTATTAGACAGAAAGTAGTTGGCAAGCATAACACCTCATATTCTTACTAAACAAAGGCATGTTTCTCTTCTTCTTTTGCTTCAGTGTTTTGATGAATCCTGATGAGCTAGACTAAAGTCGGGGGAGCTGTCAGATGTCAGCTCAAGTGGAGGATAATTTGTTTTTGTTTGGTACACCTCTCTACAGCCAATGTAAAATTTTACTAGTCCTCCTGTAAACTAGTTCTGGATTCTTTCATGGGTTTGAAACTCTTCCACCTTTCTTAGTGCAGTGGTAGGTCAATTTTTTAAAGTTATGAACACATGATTTGAAAACAAACTGTTACATATATCTAATATTAAACCAGCAGATAGTATCTTTGCAGAATAATGTTGGCTCTTGATTATCTTTTTTCTTTCTATAATAGATACAGAGGACTGGCTCATCAAATCTTCCATTCTTCACCAGTTGCAGTGTTGCAAAATCAAGCAGGGCCCTGAAACACAAAGATGGATTCTGTAATCAGTTTTTACCAATGTTTCAACATAGCCTTAGTTGAAAATACGTTGACATTTTGTATCCTCCAAGACTGCTTATCCACTCTTAACAATGCCTTTATTGAAACATGTACAGCCAAAAAAGCTTTCTTCTTATCTTGGTGTATTTTGCTGCAGTAGATAGGCCTCTGAAAGGAAATGCAAAAATACATATAACTTTTCAACAGTACAGCAAATAATGTGAGTTGTCATCCTGTGGCAGACTTCAGAGATTTCTTTGCAGAAACAAATTGATGTCTAGACCTCCATAAATTTCATTTATGGTGGAAACATCAGCATTATTGCCAGAGACCCTTTGGGTTCAGTGCCACACATTGGAAAAACTGGATTTATTCTAATGGAAAACTGAGCATCTGTGCAGAGAAAATGTCCTCTGCCTATTTGCCAGGGATATTCTTCAGCCTAAATATGTTCAACTGAGGGTATGAGCTTCTGCAGTGAAGTACGAGAATCTAGATTAGGAATGTTGTCCTTTGTGTGACAGGGGACTTGGCTCTTGGAGATGAATTTCTGAGGCTCTGGGGGGTGTAAGTAGTGCTGTCTCATAATGATTTTTATGCTAATCATCTAACAATGCTTTCTTTGCTTTGACAAAAGCAAATATCCTATTATTATGGCATGTGCCACCATGCTGCTGAACGCTTTACAGTCATTAGTGCAGTTCATCATTACAACACCTTTGAAAGACAGAGCTATGTCCTCTATATACAGAGATGATAAATTGATAAATGGATGTAGTGGTGCCAGAGCTGGGAACTGTACAGGCTCTCCCCTTAAGAGTCTAGTGTGGTAACTTCTAGGAGAGCACTCTTTCACTAGTTGTTTCGAAATACTGACCTTCATGCTTTAGCTGTGGAATACCACTCTGCAGAATACTGGGGAAGCTGAAAGCTTACGTGGGTTCAAGAAACAACTGGACAAATTGGTAAAATGAAACTCCATTAACAAGTGTTGATTAGAAAGCCACTTTTGGCTTAGGAAGTTGCTAACTCACGAACTGCTGGATGTTAGGAGAGTGTCCAAGGAAATTACTGCTGCATCCTTGCTATGTTCTGCTCTCCTGCAGGCATCTTTGGGGAGCTGTGGTGGGAGACTGCTGGGCTGGGTGGACCTTTGGCCTGACCCAACATGGACTGCTTTTAGGCTTTCATTTCTATGGCATAAAATAATACTTATGTATTTAAAATACAAGATTAGTTTCAAAACAGTAATGGCATCTCGCACCTGGACTACAGTGTGAAGTTGACTGAAAATGTTACCTATAAAGGCTCCCTACTAAATAAAGGAACATATGTTTTATCTAAGTTTGCTAAAGCAAATTACATTGAATAGAAAAATGTTGTATTAGTGAAGTAAAGTTGTGATTATGGGGTTGTGCTCATTTGATTAAGTGGGTATTCAAGAAAAGGCTTTTAAATTGGTGAAGAGAGAACAGACAAGCCTTCAGATTCTCATTCAGACTTGCAGACTCTGGTTTCAAAATCAGTCTCTTCTCCTCATGTTTGCTTGTTAGTGAGGCGCTTTTGCTCTTGGAACGCTACTTCATTAAATACAATGATTAAGAATATTTTTTGCAACTGCTACTGCAATAGGATTTTCTGTTTTCCCATGCGTCTGGGCAAATGAATTTGCTAAAGAGAAATTGTGCGTGCTTCCTCTAGTTTAAGTGAACTATTTTGAGCAAATAGGTTTATTTTATTAGAAGTATTTACTGCGATATGTGCAAGGGCTGATTCACACTTGTTCTGTGATTGTTAAGCTTTATTTTTTCTAAATATTTTCCTAAATATTAAAGAACTTCTATTCCCACTATACTCTCTCATCTTGACTATTTCATTATGCACCAAGTTTAGCCTTTCTTTTGCGTGCCCTCTTTCAGTAATGAAATGTGAATAATCATGGAAGCCCCGAGTTGCAGGTGGAAGGACTGGTGAAGCTTCATTTTCATCTCCTGTTTTGTTTTGAAATTTTATATGGTTACATAGGAAGTTGACAGCATTATGGGATATTTTTGATACATTGAGAGACTTTAGCTTTTTACTGGAGAGGCTCTAATAGGCCTGGGGAAACTAGACACTGCCGTAACCCCTCTCTGTATAGTCATTTAATGAGGTACTAACAGACTTTTTCTAATCCGGGACATTTCTGTTCTGTTCTGATGAAACTTGTGGGAGTTAACAGGTATGTGACAGTTGGCTTCGACAGGCATTTTGCTTGGCACTACCTGATGTGGAAGATGTAGGAAAGGGAAATCAGAATTTCTCTCAAAATATTGTGCCTCCTTTTGTTTGCTTACTTTTTGTTTTCTACACAGTGTCATCATATCTCTGTGTAAGCATCTTGGATTGATTCCTTTAATATATACATTGGTTAAATTTGTCCTTAATTTAATCAAGATTATATTTCAAATTATTTAAAGAAATACCTTGAAGTGCATGCCATCAGATCCACTATACTGTTTTATTCAAATACCTCCTTAACCATCTTCTGCGTTTATATTGCAATTAGCAGACAATCATCCTGTCACTGCATTCTGCTCTGCTGACATTCCCCCTCTTAAATCTGCCAAAGGGCTGAATTCCTTGGAAGTAAGTGGTTTCTGAAAAGCAGGCACCCCCCAGGGAGTCCTTGCGGTCAAAGTGTACGGAACTATTTCAAACACCTGTGGCAACTTTAATCCCTTATGCTAATAAATTAAGCACAGCAGACATGGAAATTGTCCACACCTAGGTTTGAGAATCAGTAAACTCCTTTGGGTGACTGTCACGGGAAGTTAGCTTGTTCTTGCAGATTTAGTTGCTTTTGTAAAATTTTGATCTTAGCTATACCAGTATGAATTTGGAATGCTCTTCTTAATATGCTACTTATAAGGTGTTACCTAGATCAGAAAGCTTCTGCTTTAAACTAGTTTGCGCTGGTATCTCAGAATACCATTGCAACCCCAATACCTTTTCCTCATCATAATATAACTGAAATGCAGACACTTACAATCAAGATTTATGAGTGTGCTATGTGTTTAAAAAAAGACTCACAGAAATTAAACCCACTGCCCACTTCAGCTGATTTTTTTCTTTAGATCCTTCGTGCTGGACCTTTGTTTTACATCTCAGTTTTCCACAGTAGACAAAGCAGGTCCCAGCTGGTCTCGTGTGTACCTTCCAGATAAAACTCAGGATCCTCCCAGCTTTGCTGTGAGAGATGTTTCATTACTTCTTGTGCTGAGGCCCCTGTGCAGGGCTGTGGCACTGTAACCAGGCTTTGTGTAGGTATAAATGTAATTATATCAATTGCGTGTATCAAGAATAGTGTGACCAGCAGGAGCAGGGAAGTGATCCTGCCCCTGTACTCGGCACTGGTGAGGCCGCACCTGGAATATTGTGTCCAGTTTTGGGCCCCTCGCTTTAAGAGAGATATTGAGCTCCTGGAGCGAGTCCAAAGAAGGGCGACTAAACTGGTCAAGGGGCTGGAAAATAAAACTTATGAGGAGCGGCTGAGGGAGTTGGGGCTGTTTAGCCTGGAGAAGAGGAGGCTGAGGGGAGACCTGATTACGGCCTATAAATACTTGAGAAAAGATGGTGGGGAGGTAGGGGAAGGGCTCTTTACGTTAGTGATGGGTGATAGAACAAGAGGAAATGGGCATAAGCTTAGTCAGGGGAGATTCAGGTTGGATGTTAGGAAGTATTTCTTCTCTGAAAGGGTTGTCAGCCACTGGAATAAGCTGCCCAGGGAGGTGGTTGAGTCCTCATCCCTGGATGTGTTTAAGAATAGGGTGGATGATCTACTTGAGGATATGGTTTAATGGGGATTAGGGATGGTTGGACTCGATGATCTCTAAGGTCTTTTCCAACCTAGAAATCTATGAATCTATGAATCTATATCAGAAGCTTCTGCAGGATTCCAGTGTTGTGCAAAGGGACCCTGGACTAGATGTGAATTAGATCTGAAAGATCATACAGCTCCTCCTGTAAGAGCATAAGGATTATTTTTTTTTGTTCTGTCCAAATTTCACCAACTCTATGGTATGCTACAAACCAGCAAATTTTTCCCTCGTTCCTCAAGCTCCTCGATTGCGGCATTTCTTTTTGCATGTTAAGTGGTTGGTGAAGTCCTTTGCATTGAAAACCATTTGATGTTGACGCTAGCTCGTAGGGTTTTAATTTTTTTAAAAAGTCAGAATCTCACTTTTCATCCCAGAGAAAACCCATCCTGAGGATCTCTGCTGAATGTATGGGAGGTGGAGAAAGATTTTATATTTATATGAAGCTTTGCAATAATTCTTAGGCTTGCCTGCAAGAGATGTGCAGCTACATAAGAAATAGTGTCTAATGGTGCTTTATGGAAGAAACATAATTTGTGTTTTGGGGAAGAATATGTACTTTGGTTGAATTTTGCTCAGTTACTTTTAATTCATTTGACGTGGTTAAAATCACCACCTACATGGATGTCATTGGTTTAGGTTTTTTTCCAAACCTGATTTAGAGCAAACCGCAAGTTGTTCCTTTGTACAACCTATGTATTATTGAAACAGGTGGAAAGGGCATAATATGTTTTTTTGAGAAATGTAAACCAAGAGATTTCTGTTCTTTTCTGGCAGAAAACAATAAAAAAAAAGTCATGCAACCTGATTTTTTTTTTTGTAGCTTTAACCTAATGGGCAATTTTTTTTTAGAATGAGCAGATTCAGTATCAGTGTCAATACAGTAGAATTATGTCAGCCTTTCCCCACTGATTCCAGCACAGTTGTATGGTTTTATAGCAAATGAGTCCTGGTGTACCACTAGACTCCTTTAGAGAGGAGAGAAGTCTAAGTCTTTTAGTGTAACTTATTTGATCTTCCCGTTCTAGTCGATGTGTTCTCTCTTTTAGCCACATTTTCTGATGAACCGTTGTCCTTTACAGGTGAAAAACCTTATCAGTGTGATTTTAAGGACTGTGAACGAAGATTCTCTCGTTCAGACCAACTCAAACGGCACCAAAGACGACACACAGGTTTGTTGACAACAAACATCTCTACTCATTAGAGTTCATATTTATATGTGAATTGTGATCCAAAAAGTATACTTCTAAACTTCTATTTTTCTGGTTTTGTATCTGCTTATGCACAGTACCAGTAGTGCCAAATTTGTGAAGTTAGCTTTAGGAGAGGACTGTAGCTGAGTTTTTTTGTCGGCATTTCAGCCCTACTGTGGTTGTATAGGTGACCCTTTCATCCTGCCACCATCTTTTTGAAACAGCTTTCTTGATGAAACTGTTTGCTCTATACTGCATCCCCAAATTAGGGAATATATTATTTTTTAAAACCAAAGAGTTGTGCAAGAAAAAATTGACAATGAGTAACCTGATAAATGCTACCATTGGTATTCTGATGCTCGTGTGGCAGTGCTAATAGGTGAATGCTACCTGTGCATAACCTGAAAGGCTGGTGGAATTACTGTGCATTTGTACGTGGAAAGCAGAAGTGGAGAAGTAAAAGCCACACCAGTTTTAATGCTTAAGACCCTAATTCAGCAAACCACTTAAGCTTAGGTTTGAGCCTTTTTTGAATTCTGCCTACTAAAGAAGGATTCTAGGAGCAGCAAGGAGAGAAACGTCAAAGATCTGGTTGGTTGGATTGCAAAAAGAGCCTGGAAAGTGTAGAGCAGTTCAGATGCAGCAGAGAGGGCAGCAGCAGTCATGGATGGGTCTCAGTGAAACATTTACTGGGTGAAATGTTCTGAGACAGTCAAAACTACTTGTAAGTTCAGTCCAAATTCAGCAAGTTGTTTTCTGTGCATACACCATTTTCTGGAAATGTCAAGAGAGCCCATTTCAGCATTTCAGGAGTTCTTGGAGGTCTAGATTAGGTTGACAGGGGAGCCAGCTGCTCTTCTCAAAGTCATAGAAGAGGAGATGGTGATGACCTCAGCCTTCTGACTGTGAGTGGAACCATGAGGTCCCTCTGCATGGATCATGGGAAAGGGCTTCAGACTGCTTCTCTGATAGAGTCACAGCAAGAAATTGTGTTTAAGTCTCCTATCTCTCAGGGAGTGGCCTGACAACTAGTTTACTCATTGTTCTGTGGTGGATTTCTGCCTACTATTTTTCTTGCTAAAGATGTTCTACCCCACTTAGATGGTGTTATTGAGAGATGTAGGAAGTGTCTCTGAAAGCTGGTGGGATGATACGTTTTTAGCAACTGCATGCTAGAACATATCTGTGTTAAGCAGTCCCTAAGACTTATGTGTAGTGTGTAAAGTGAGTAATAGAAATGTAAAGTAGGTTAAGCCTATTGGGAGTATATAAAAATAAACCTCTGCACCTCTATTCTTCTTATGTTATATTTGCTCATATGTGATGCTAATAGTGCCAAGCCACAGGATCAGCCTTAGCAAAGTTTGCAGGTCCTCCTTAGTCCAACGATGTAAGTGGGTGTTTATGATGGTGCAGTTTGGATGCTTCAGAAGACATCAGAAGAGGAGGTTACGAAGGGATGGTAGCCTGATTAATGACTTTCTGTCATGTGTAGGCATGAAGCTGGGTGGAGCAGTTACAGTAACTAGTACAGAAAACTCCAGGCTTTTGAAAATTCAGAAATAGCTGATTTTATTCACCCTTCCAAAAGCTGTTGGGATGTAAGAATAGACTTCTTTTGTCTTTTCAGGTGTGAAGCCCTTTCAGTGTAAAACCTGCCAGAGAAAGTTCTCCAGATCTGATCATCTGAAGACTCATACCAGGACTCATACAGGTAAAACAAGTGCGTAAACTTTTCTTCACATTTATATTTCTTTATTTTTTAAGTTTAAGTCAATGTTGTTGTTAATTACATGATTAGACTTAAGTCTCTTAACCAGAAGTTAAATGTTCAAAACAACATAAAGAATTTCAGTGTGCTGATTTTTCAGCGTGACTACATTCCCCAAGTGTCATAGTCACTTTTCACAGAGGGATTTAGGTGATTTTGGGAACTACGCTTTCTTTCTTCATGTTTAAAGAAGTTTTGGCTTGGCAAAATATATTTTGTCAGCTATTGTAAAATGAACATCATGGTCTCAGCCCACAAATGTCAAGTTGATCTACTGCCTTTACTGAAAAAACCCCACAAGATAGAAATTTTAATTCTAGCTTCAGCCGAAGGTCTGTAATCTAAAGTATTCCTGCCTACTCGTGCTCCTCCTAAGTGTCAGTTGAGCCTAATGCAGGATAGCACGGCAAAGCTCTTGCTGTTGCTGCTTGTACTGTAATCTCTCCAGAAGATAAAAGGAGTGCCTTTTGCAGACTCACACTGACAGCCACTAAAGTAAAAGCTTACTCAAATATTCAAGGACCTTTTTGTAGAAACATGAAAATAGTATTTCATGTAAATACAGGGAAAAAAATAGGAGACCGTTTTAGTCTACTCTGTCTTCACATGTGTATAAACACCATTAAGAAGCAACTGCTGCAACCTCTGTATTTTAGTTTTAAGTTTTAGAGTTATTTCTATGAACTGACATTTTCTGTTCCTTTCACTATGTATGCAGTATTTTTACCAAGTAATTGTTTACTGAGCACTTTGACACATTATTAGATGGCGTTAACCTCTTAAATTCAGTCTCTGTACAGATGGACAAGGAGCCTGAAAATCTTTTTCTCCCTGCTAAGGATTCTTTTTTCTCTTCTGGACCATAAAACCACATATTTAAGACTTCCAAAAATAAAAGAGAAATTTTAATAAAAGAGAAATGATTCACCTGAGAATAATGGCATTTTCTGTGGCACCGGCCAAATAAATGCTTCAAGTAATGGCCATATCTACACTTGCAATCTGCAAATGGTAAAGAGCATGGCTGTGTTCCTGGGTTCTCCCCATAGCCTCATGCTGGGCTGCAGGGCCTGGGTCTGTGTGCATTTGCATGAAGGATGGTATTTTCTTAGTCAGCAACAGGTAACGCTCTGGTAGAGACAAAGCGGCAAGCGGTTGTCCCATGCTGACAAGTCCCCACCACATTTCATTGCTAGCTGATCTGCTAATTCATGACTTTCATGAGTCTAGTAATTTTTATCCCAGATTAGCTACATCAGTGAAGAGCTTGCTCTCTTTTTTCTAGTGAAACTCATCTCCCTGTTCTAGTTCTTCCTTGTTCCATGCGATCCAAGCCCACACTGCAGTCATTGCTGAAAGCAGCCTCACTTGAGCATTGATAACCTCATAGCACAGACCTCTGCGTGGGCTTGCTGCCTGCCACTGGCCCAGGTTCTCTGCGAGCTCTGCAGCCCAGCTGTGTGCTGCTGTGATGATGCTCCCGTCGGCGGTTTTGGATGCGTCATGCTTCCTTGACTGTAAAATATACATATCCTGAGGGGAATGAGCACAAGTGGTAGGTGGGGAGTAGGTGGGGATTTTTCATCTCCATCTTGCCCTGTAGCTTTATTCGTCCTTCTTTCTTGTACCCTCTAAATTTTGCAACAAAATGCCTAGGTCAAGTTAACTTGCTCCATATTAAATCTTGATGAAGCAAAGCAGAGGTGACTTCCATCTAATTCCATCCGAATTTTAAGTCAGCTACAAATTCAGGTTTTTTTGTCTCCACAAGCAATTTTACTGTGACAGCAATCTTTGCTGTAGAAAGCAAAAAAATGAATCAAAAGAAAACTCCATACACCTATGTACATTTTTAGCAATGGAAATGTGATTTCTGATATCCGTACAGTGAAGCTGTACAAAATAATTTGTGCCCAGCATGAAATTAATAGGAATTGCTGCCTCCTGTTGCGAGAGGACAACCAGAATTGACTGTGAAACAGCAAAACTGTGCTGCTTTTACTGCGGTAGTTCTATGAAAAACTGGCCAATAATAGATAAGTCGCACCAGTTCACAGGACCGTTTTGCTAACGCTGCTGAAATGAAAGAAGACCACTTTATACAATCTGTGATTTTTATCAGTAGCTCTGACCAGATCAATTCTATCCCATACTGTTTTATGCACTCATGTGAGATGGTTGATGCTTTTGCCAGCATGTCTATTAAGTGGATAAAGTAGATTTTAAACAACAGTCCCCCATATATGTTGCATGGGATTTTGCAAAGAGAAATATACATTTATACCAATCTCAGATCCCCTTTTGCCTGAATTTGGATGTTTGTGAAATGCACAAAGTGTGAGGCAAAGAAGAGAAGGTGGCTGGGTGAACTTGTACCATCCCAGTGTGTCTTGAGTTGGAGAGTACGAGGTGTGTAGACAGCGCTGAAGAGCCCAGTCTCAGAACTGAACCTGCTTTAAAATATTGCATCTATTTTGAAGGAGAAAAAAACAAAAATGCAAATCTAGCAGAAACATGAGTCACCGGGCATTGCTCTGAGCTAATGAAAGCATTCCATCAGCATTCCTGTGGCATCAGAAACAGCCCACTTAAACCTTGTAGGAAATCAAGACACCAGATTAAATTGTAAAAAGATGATGGCATTTCTTGTTAAAGTTGGATGTGCTTTGCTTGCGATCATTTTTAGTGAATATCAAGCTCATGGGAAAGTTAGAAAAATACTGAATATTTTGAGCCTTTAACATCTCCCATAGATGTGAATCTGCTTTATTTAGACAGTAGTGGAAAACTTTCAGTCTGGCTCAGCAGACTTCATGCTGAACTCTGTTGCTTCTACCATATTCACTTACACTCACTGGTTTCAAAGACATTCAGCCAAAACTCCTTGAACTAGCTGGAAAAACTCTCCTTGACTTGAGGTCAAGCTCTAAATAGTCACTGAAAATTTTCACAGTGACTAACAGTATGTCTGCACCACAGTCCGAGGTGTGACTGAAGCTTGTGCGAATGCCAGAGTGACTTTTAAACTAGTTTATTGGGGAGCCGAGAGTAGCATAGACATGGCAACATGATGTTCAGTAAGGGCCTGTCTTCAGGAGTGAAGAACTGCTGCAAAATATTTTACGTCATCGGAAAAGGCTGTTGTTAAACATCCTCTGCGGGAGATGTAAGAAAGCCCTGAGCGCTGATGTGAGCAGGAGTTGAGGGCCCACCCACACCCTCTCAGGTCAGCCCGGGATGCCTTTCCTTCTGACACGGGCTCTGCCTAACTCCTCACCACCCTGCAGAAAGAAAAATAGCAATGTCTAAGGCGAGCTGTATACCCAGTTAATAACAGGGTGTTTTGTCAACAGGTGAAAAGCCTTTCAGTTGCCGGTGGCCCAGCTGTCAAAAAAAATTTGCCAGGTCTGATGAATTAGTTCGTCATCACAACATGCACCAGAGGAACATGACTAAACTGCAGTTGGCCCTTTAGACAGTTCAAACAAGTGAATTAACCAGATGGGACATTATGAGCTACTGAAACTTTATCAGCCATCTTCGATCACCTCTGTCAGAAAGCTGCAGCTGTCTTCGCATCCCATTTGACACAAGTTAACTAAACTGTAGGATTCTGCTCAGCCTTGTCTTCCATTTGGACTTACACAAGTTCCTATTCAATAGGTTCAAGAGATTTTTATTTGTAATTTTGTTGAAAAGTAAGCAAGATTGCCGCAGTTTCAAGATTACTATAAACTGTGCTTGCCTTCCACATCTGTCTCCAGTTTTCTGATTTTATTTTCACTAAAACTTTTCTAGGTATGTATTGTTGTACCTTTTTAACTCCTGCAGCTGGTAGGGCGGTTCCTCCCTGTTGAAGGTAAGCTTTATGCTTACTGCACCTGTGCATATGCTGAGGTTTCCGAATACTAGTACAGTGATCCTCACAAAATGAGACAGAACAATCACCTGAGATACTTTTGGTAAACTTTGTACTTGTACTGCCAAAGGGCAAGCTTTTAAAGTGGGAGCTCTGTTTTTGAATTTCACAAATCAAACCTTTTTTTAAAGGACGTATTTCTAGAGCAGCTAAAGCTAGATGAACCAGAGCTTCTCTGTACAGAAAACAAGAATCTTACCATTAAGTTAACTTGTTTTTTAAATAATCACATAACTGATCCCCCCCCAACCCATTTTGTTTGTCAAATAACTCCCTTTCTCTCTCTCTTCTTAATGTATTGGTTTAAATTTATTCTATCATGCGATGCATAGATCTCCTTTACTCAAAACTAATTCCAATCATTGTAGACATTTGGGATTTGTTTACAATGTAAAGCCGCACTGGTTATGTGGCTAGCAAGCTGTATAAACTTAAAACAGAACTTTTAATGGGGCTGGTCCAGGATCTCCATTAACAGATTACTCTTAAGATAAGTAACTTAAAAAGACTCTTTGTCAAGTATATGTGAAAAAGACATTATTAGTGTAAGGAAATATATTGTTTCAGGGTTTTGGGAGGAGGGGTTTATTATTTACTTTTAATTGCTTGAAATTGTGTGTATATATATCTGATAATGTATTGCTCTTAGACATCTAAAATTAGAAAGTGTATAAATATTAGATGCATCACTGTTCTGATGTTGTTGCTGTTACAAACTATTGATAACACTAAGAATGTAACCTGCATTTTTCACTGAGCTTTCAATTAAAGCCCATTCAAAGAGAAACAAATGAGAGTCCAACAGATGTCTTGTTTCATGTCTGGTATTAAATTTCAAATGCCCTGTCCAATAGTATCCTTTTTTGTTTTTTGTATATAAAGGTACCACCAGCACTGATGACCACTAGTTAACCTGTCCAGGTCTTGACCACAATTTATCCATCTCACTTGGGAATCATACTGGCAGCAGAAAACAGTGTCAAGTTTCATATTGTGCTATAAAGCAGTTGCTTCAATCGTTCGTCTTCTTACCAAACTACTCCTTTTTTTTCTGCTTGTGAGATTTGTATAAGAACTTCATAGAATAGTAAAATCCAGTTTATAAATAGCAGTACTGGCCTTCTGTAGAACTGCGCTGAAACCATAAGCACAGATAACTTCTTAGATTAGGATATCATAGACTGACTTCTAAGT